ATGGCCCTGGCCAAGCCGGCCAGCCCGCGGCTGGGGAGACGCTTGCTGCTGCGGAAAATGGGGCTGCATCCAGCCCAGCAAAGGTCTAAAATGGCATTTTTTGGAGGGGATGGGGGACTACGGGTCCCGGCATGCTGCACTGTGCTCCTGCCGAGGCTGCGCCGGCGGCACGGCATGCTGGGGGCTGTAGTGCCAGCTGGGGCGGGGGTCCCGAACCCCCTTACCGAAACACCACGTGCCTTGGGTCGTGGTCCGGGGTCACAGGGAGCCTCTCACCCCTCAGGGACGGTCCTTCCAGCGTGGCTTCGGTGCCTCCCACCCGTCTTCCATCCCTTGCGAGGAGGGGGCTCTGCACTGGGAGCACTGGGGTACCCGTGGCCAGGACCCGGCGACGATGCTCCTCCGGTGCCGGCGAAGACCCCCACTTGGGAAGCAATCTGGGGACTTCAGCCGGCGTGGGTTGGGGGTGAGAGGGACTGGGGCTCGGTGTGGATTTAATTTCTTTTCCTTCTAATTTTCCTTGGTGATTTCAGTAGCATAAGAAGGGGGGGTGGGTGGGAAGCAGCGGGCAAGGAAAGCTCCCAAGGCCGGGCGGCGCCAGGGAGGGACTCCAAAAAACTCCCTGCGCTAAAAATTTCCAGCGATCGAAAACTTTAGGCGAAGGTTTTCAGCCCAAACGCTGCAAAGCCATCCCTTTCGCAGGGCTGGTGGAGCAAAAACGATTTCCAGCTGGGTTGCCAACACTGCTTGGCCGATTCGACTGCGCGTCCCTCAGTCCCCAGCCTCAGTGCCCGAGTCACCGTCTCCCCGCTGCCCCCCAGCCCCGCTCCCCTGAGGAGCTGCGAGCACTTCACAACATCTGCGCGGGGAGAATTTCCCTATATTAGACTAAATGTAAATGCATTCCCTACGGGAGATTACGGCATCTGGTATCCTGATGCTTAGAGAGTTTACTCAGCCTGAAAGAATAGCGGGGAAAAAATATCCCTGGATGTTTTTTGGAATGCAGAAGGAAATTGAGATTCTAATGTGGAGGGAACTGGCCATCATCAAACACAGGAGCCTTGTGCATGCCTCGCAGCGAGGTACTGGAAATTCCCACTTGAGTTAGATGCAACTAACTAAACTCCCCCAGCTGGGAAGAGGGAGGAAAAAAATGAAAGCGACTGTCTATATGTTTTTCAAAAAAAAAAAAAAAAAGAGAAAAAGGGGAAAAAAGTCACCCAACGCCCGAGCGTTTCTTTGAACCTCCTGCCC